AGAGCTGACAGCCCAGGCAGTGGTTGAGGTCAAAGGTCGTGCGGTTTGGGGCCCTACTAGTCATCATGAGAAGATTCCAGAACCACAGCGATAACCATAAAGCTGGGTTGGAACGAGAGGGTGAGGGGTGAAAAGAGCGCCCTCCTCCAACAAGGGCGTGCCGAGCTCCAACTCAGCGACTGAAGAGTGAGACTCTGTGACACCTAAGAGGGATCAGCGAATGAATGCAGATAACACCTGCTTAAACAACCAGTTTCCCTGGAAAGCTTAGTGTGTTTTTAAGTTATGGTGGTCGTTGGTGTGACGTTAATAATCATTTTATAAATGACATGCATTTACATGACTCTCCGAACATCACAAACTCTGTTAGAGTTCTGAGCATGAGTAAAAGTGATTGGAGTAATTATAGCATGCAAGTTTTACAGCAACTTGTGCGCATTTTGTAGGATAGGTAGATTGATTATCTAGCATGTCAGTTCCTGATGCGCAAGTGCATTAGGCCCTCATTGTCTGAGTAAACAGAGTAACAACAGTTGTGAGTTCTTTTGACATGTGTACTCAATTTTGACACATTTGACACCGTAAAGATAGGATTTTGGGTTCATCACATTTCATTGAGGGATTTTGATAGACCTCAAACATGCTGGAAGCACCTAAACAAGGAGGCTGTTCTTCCAGAGTTAAATGTGGTTGTTTTGGTTTCCCCAATCACTGATGTGGGCACAGTAAAGATAATTGTAAATGCCCTCGAGAAGGTTTACACCTTTTAAACGGGCTGATGGCCATACAATAGTAAAGAGTACAGTACACTGCATAGACAGAGAGGAAAGATCTATAATTCTGTTGTAAAAAGTAGCTCAGAAGTGTTTGATATATGTTGGCTGTGTGGCTACTTTTGGGTTTTACTTTAAAACTCGAGAAGCACTAACATCAGTGTTAGTATATGTTTGTGGTACCTACAGGTTCAGACATATTCACTGTCCTTGATGGCAAACATCTAGACAGGGCAAAGCAAATGGCACAAAGGATTGTGTGTGATGTTTGGTGAGGCATGTGTGCCTCAATCCCTAATAACACGGCGGATGAGGGTCTTTTACAGAAACAGTTAATAAATTGGGAGATTTAATGATAAAGTGGGAAAATATATCACACACTGAAAAACTTCCTAATCTTAACAACAGGTTCTTATGAGAGAGCAGCTTGATGTAACTAAGGTTGAAGTTTTCTTTGCAGAAACTTCAACCTTAGTTACATATGATCTCATATTGTGTTTTCTTTTATGATATAACTGCCATCCTTCGAACAAAGGGTGGAGACTCAGATGGAGAGAAGATGACCATAAAATGTGAATTTGTTGTTTCCTTCTGACTATAGGGAAGATGCACATTGTGAATTCTTTGAGTACACAATGGTGCTGATGTACAGTAGTTAGAAAAGAAATTTCCATGTGTTTTTATGTGATTCTTAATTAATTAGTTTTAATTCTTAATTGTGGTATCGCAAAGGGTGGCAGATTTCTTTTCTCATCTATTAATCACATATTTAATCATATCACATTAGTTATAGTAATGTCACTTTATCACTTTACTATAGTAAGAGCACTCCTGTCACTAGTTTACATGCATGTGGAACGTTAACACAGTGAGGCCATTGTAATGGGAGACGTTAAACAGATAGTGGGACTGCTGCTTATCAACGTGTGAGAGTTTGTGGAATATTCATTGTCTGTGTCTCTGTATATAAGATGTAAGGGCGGTGGCCACAATTCAGAGATGGTCCTAGTGTTTCATGCTCTCTCCACATTGCGATGTGTTTATTAAACCCACTTCAAATCAAGCTTGCTGGGTGTGTTGCAGGTTATTGTTAAATTTTCCACAACCGTTTGTTGCAACAAACGGTCTAGGGCCTTATCAAACAGGACTGTTTGACAAGGCCACCGAAGCATATGGTAGTAGTTTGGCAGCTCTCTTAGAAAAAGAAAAAAATATAAGGGGGGGGGGGGGGGGGGGGGGGGCTATAATCAGATGCTACAAATGTCGAAAAATACAATTAAAATGGGCAGTGATTATATGATGCAAGAGTTATTTTGAGCACACATTAACTCAGGTGTGCATTGTTATGTTGGCTTGCCCTTTGGCAAAGAAGCTTTTGAAAATAAATGATGTAGACAACCCTGTCTCACAGTAAACATAAATGCTTGTTCTGTTGACAAATTTGAACTTTGGTTGTAGTAAAAAAACCCAAAAAAAAACAAACAAACCAAACAAACGTCGAGAGACAAACAATTTCAACACATGGCACATTTTCTAAACTTATTAGTATTTTATGCATCAGAATTTTGCTCATGTTTCATATTCCTTCGTCACCTTAAGTAAAAATGACTCCTCTTACCCGAATGTGGTTGTGTAGCGGAACCGAAGTGCGGAGAAGTTTGCTGTAAAATGCGCATTTCGTGTTTTTCACCAGGTGGAGGCAATAACGGCTTCCAGCATCTGTGCGCAGGCGCAGTGGCACATCACACAACCGCAATAAGCAAATATGGCGGCGGCCGTCGACAGTGTTGTTAAAGTGTAAGTTTACCTTTATTTATTGTGAGAGTTAAACTAGCAGCCGCACAGAGGCGCTTTTTTAGTTAATTATTCATCGTTTGAAAGGCAGGGCGCAGAAAAATTGCACATCGCATCTTCAGTATTGAATACGATAATTGTCCCAAGAGGATAACGTTATCCTCCGTGCTACTGTTAGCTTGTTAGCTTTGGGGAAACATAAGGGAATCAACCCTGCTATGGAGCTGCATTTCAGCCTCAGTTTAAACCTAATTCAGCAAGTCTTAATTGTACTTAAAGTGGTTTTACGTGTAAAAGCTTTAAACTGTTTGTAGCCAGTCGCACGCAGATGAAAGAGGGTTAATTTTCCTTTAACCTGTCAGGTTGGCGGGCGCTTTGTTGTGACGAGAGTCGCTAACAATCAACCTTTTGTTCTGACACCCTCCACCGTT